TTAGTTTGGACTTGTTTGTGGAGAACAGTAAAATACATGGGAAAACCCGATTGCCAATAAAAATGAATTAATGATTAGGTTTAGGATTGAGGTTAGGGTTATATCTCCTTGGTGTCATAGCCAAAAACTAATACTAGTGATGGATTTCTAGAGGTTTTTGCAGGAAAGGAAAGTTCACAGGTTTTGGTTTGAACTTGTTTGTGGAGAACCGTAAAATAAAGGGGAAAATCTGATTGCCAATAAAAATGAATTTAGGGTTAGGTTTAGGGTTAGATTTGCTTGGTGTCATGGCCAAAAACTAATACTAGTGATGGATTTCTAGAGGTTTTTGAAGAAAAGCTTTTCATTTGGACTTGTTTGTAGAGAATATTAAAATACATGGGAAATGTTTATATTTTATATTTGGTTTTCCATTAAGCCTAAAGAAAGCTTAACTTAAATACCCAGACACAATGAGCAATGTGATATATGCAGTACTGTGCAGTGAGACATGTGCAGATCTCTACATTGGAGAAACAAAACAAACCCACTTCACAAATGCATGTCACAACATAGTAGAACAAACACATCAGGACAAAATTCAGCAGACCATCTGCATTTGAAAGACAAAGGTCACTGTTTTGAAGACAGCAAAGATTTATTTATATTATCATAGCCACCTCTCCTGACATGATGATAATGTATTGGTGAGTTCAGGTGAGACTGGATTAATATTAATGTGTTCCAAAGTCCTGTATCAGTAGTAAATATAGGTACAGGAAAAATAAGTTATATGGTACTTATTCTTAAGCTCCTTTACAGTACTAATACTTGTATATGTGCATGTGTATATGCATTATGGAGTTTTATTATGGCCTGCACAAGGATCAATATCAAACATATTATGTCTGTTAGACTTTTGGCAATGGTGTGTAATGCTATGTATATATGTATAATATATGTATACATATGTATACATAATATACAAAGCTAAAACCTTTACTCAAGAAGTTTAGGAAATGAAATGCTGTTCATCATAAAAATTACCTGTTTAGCCCCCAAACAATTTGAGGCAACAGTATTTCCACGGGAGTTGATAAACCCTAATAAAATTAGAGACATTAAAGTGATTTTTCTTCCCTGAAACGTACGTTGACTTCCTGTGATTCTTATGGTGAACTACACATCCCTAAGCAGGACAGTGTTTAGACAGAGAGCAGCTGGATGTTGGATCCTGGCTACTGCAATCTCTTCAAAGAAAGGGGAGATTGTGAGATAGCCATGCACCCTCTGGACAGCTGTGTAATAGGCTGTAGGAACTGAGGTTTTGAGTTCAACTTACGAGTAGAGCGATTGGGAATTAAAGGAAACCATCTACGCTTACAGCTGTAATTCAATCTTTGTGGACAAAAAGCTTGGCTGTGCTTAATTTCTTGATCATCTTTGGAAAAGTTTTTTACTGCTTTGAAACAACTTTTTTGCATTCGGTGAGTGAGACTCTTAAAAGAATTTAAAAATCCTTCACATGGGAAGCTGTTTAGGTTTTTTTGGAAGAAAAACATGAGAAGATAGGACTTTGAAGGTTGGATATAGATGAAACTAAAAGGAAATAAAGTGCCATTAAAGAATAATAATACTTAAATTGAAGTTGTTAATAAAGAATGAAATAAGCTACTCTCACTAGATATTTGAGGGATATTTTTGAACAATTGACTCAGAAATTAATTTTAAGAATATCAGACTCCATAGAGAGATGGAATATTGATGTCACAGAAGAATAAACTCAATGGGATGAGATTGAAATTGATCTGAATTTGAATGTGGATTTAAATACGACAAGTTACAAGTACAACATGGGACGAGATGATATATTGTACATACAAATGAAAATGACTCATATCTTAATATTTAAAAGGGACATATAAGTATTAAATCTGTAGAGTGATTTGGGTAACATTTCCTTAATGTACAAAAAAATAAATAAATCTGTTAAAAAGTTTTGAAGGATTCTATAAGATGGGACAAAAAAAAAAATCAAGATTCAGGACATTATTTGAAGACAGAATGAGACAATTAGCTGTATCCACTTTGCTCCAGGTCCTCTGCTGCAGCCAACCCACAGCAGGCGTTCTTCCTCAGCTGGCTTTCTGCTGGCACTCTCCCCCACCACTGGTCCCATCGCTCCTCCCACACACAGGGACATTTTTGCCAGCCCTATTTGCTGCATGGATAATTTGCAATGAGCAAGTGCAAAGTGTTACTTTTGTCCGGAGAACATTGAAGAAATTTAACATTCAGAAAGCAGCAGGCTCAGATAATATCCCTGGGCGTGTTTTTAGGGTATGTGCAGATGAGTTGGCTTGTGTTCTTACACATATTTCCAATCTTTCACTGCAGCGTGTCCCATGTTTTAAGACGGTCATTATTTTGCCAGTGCCAAAAAAGTCTACAATTACGGGTCTCAATGACTACCGTCCAGTTGCACGTATATCCATCATTATGGAATGTTTTGAGCGGTTGATAAAGGACATTATTATATCCAGCCTCCCTGCAGCATCTGACTTGCTTCAGTTTCCTTATCATGCAAATTGTTCTGCAGAGGATGCTATTTCATCTGCTCTCCATCCAAGCTAGGCACATTTAAAGGAGAGAAACACTCATACGTGAATGCTGTCTGTTGATTTCAGTTCGGTATTTAATACAATCATTCCATGCATCTAGTAGAAAAACTGGGACTTTTTGGCTTCAATACTGCGCAACTAGATTCTTGATTTTCTTATTGACAGGCCCCATTTTGTGCAAGTTGGGACTAATATTTCTAACACCAGCACAGGTTCTTCTCAGGGCGGTGTCCTAAGTCTGCTGTTGTTCACCCTATTGATCCATGACTGTTGTGCTAGGTTTGCCACCAAGCATATTGTGAAGTATGCGGATGATACAACAGTATAGTGGGCCTTATTCAAGACGACAATGAGGGTGCTTACTGTAAGGAAGTACAGGCTTTGGTGAACTGGTGTAACAAAAACAGCCTCATTTTAAACGTAGGAAAAACTAAAGAGATTGTTGTCAATTTCAGAAATGGCAAGCAAAGCCACAGATCTCTGAGTATTAATGATTCTCCTGTGGACGTGGTTAGCAGCATCAGGTTTCTGGGTGTGCAGCTAACGAGTAGACTAGTTTGGTTATTCAAAAGTGAAACACTGGTGAAGCTGGCACAGGAGTGCCTGCATTTTCTGCGTTGCATGAGAAAAGCACATCTTCATTCCCCTGTCCTTTCTACAGAGGGACAATCAAGAACATCCTCTCATATTCCATTACTGTCTGGTTTGGAAGCATTACTGCTTCAGACAGGAAGGAGGTGCAGAGAGTGGCAAGAATGGCAAAAAAGATTATTGGTAGTTCACTAACTTTTATCCAGGACATAGCACATAAGTGATGCTTGGGCAAGGTTCATAGGATTGTCTAGGATGCTACATATCCTTTGCATGATCTGTTTTCCTTGTTACCTTCTGGAAGGGGCTTCGTGGTATCTAAAGCAGAACATCCAGATTCAGTCACAGTTTTGTTCCATATAGCATTAACCTTGTGAACGCTCAAGTTTCCTTTTTCCACTCTGTATTCAAAATGGACAGTGATTAATACTTATATGTATATATAAATGTATGGATGTGCATATGTGTGTGCGTGTGCGTGCGTGCGTGTGTTGGCTGGAGCACCCAGTCTACCAAATATAGGATAAATCAATCTGTTCTGCGTTTCGCTCCAATCTAGGAGCATGTTTTGTAGGCAGATGTCACATACTGTGAACACTGTAAATTCAAAATTTTGTGGCTGACAGTTTATATATATGTATGTATATATGTGTGTGTGTGTATGTGTGTGTGTGTGTGTGTGTGTTACGTATGTGTATGGGTAGATATATACTTTTTTTTAAGTGCGGACAACATAATTTCATATTTAATGTGGGCCTGTGTGCTCCTAGTAAAAAATCTGTCCTGGAAGTCAACCTGCAAGCCAAGGGGTGGGCCTCTACCTTCGCACTAGATGAGTGCAGAGTAGGGCCAGGCAGGACGCAATGGGGTGGCAACAGCAACAAAAACAGTGCTGGACACATGTACCCGGCAAAGAAATGACAAAGCCTGTCACGGGGTTGAATCCAGCACCTCTGTGGAGTGATAAGGTGTTGCAACGGCCCCAGGAAGATGCACCTGACAGGGAGCAGCCTGGTTACCTCATACAGCAAAAGCCATGTCCTCCGCCTCCTCGGTGCCAAAAACCCCCTTGCCATTGAAAATGAATCTAGGTTAGGGTAAGAATTAGATCTACTGGAGTTATGGTCAAAAAATGATGATCCTTACAGGTTTTCTAAAGAAAGTGACATTAACAGTTTTCATTTGGAGTTATTTGTGAATCACAATAAAATACATGGGAGAAACCCATTGCCAATGAAAATTAATCTAGAGTTAAGGTTAGGTCTACTTGGAATCATGCCACAAAACGCTAGTATATATTCTTAGCAGTTCTCTAAAGAATGTGACAGAGCCAGCTTTTATTTCAAAAAAGTTTGTGGACCACAATAAAATACCTGGGGAAATCCCACTGCCAATGACAATGAATCTAGGGTTAGAGTTAGGTCTACTTGGAGTCATGGCTGAAAATTAATGGTAGGGATAGATTCTCAGAGGTTTTCTAATGGAAACAACATTAACAGTTTCTCGTTTGAAGTTTTTTGTAAATCACAGTAAAATACATGGGAAAATCCCCGAGCCAAGAAAATGAAACTAGGTTTAGGTTAAGGTTAGATCTACTGGAATCATGCCCAAAAATTAATGTTAGGGATAGATCCTTAAGAGACTTTCTAAGAAAAGCGACATGGACAGCTTCGCTTTTCGAGTTGTTTTTGGACCACTGTAAAATCCATGGGAAAATCGCATTGCCAATGAAAATGAATTTAAGGTTAAGGTTAGGTCTTCCTCGCCCAGTTTCGGGAAGGAGGACCGCTCTCTCCCACCCTGCCTCACCTCGCAGCGCCAGGCAAGCGATGGCTATCAGGAGCGCCAGCAAGGCAACCACCGCAAGGCAACAGAGCACCGAACAGGTCCTGCTCGGCCACTTACTCCCGGCGGCTTCGGGCCCCTGCAACGAAAATCAGTTCACGAAGATGAAGCAACCGCCCCCCCCCCTGTAAACTCTGCCTGACGTCTCCATCAACCAGCCCCCTTCACCTCTGCCATAACTAACCGCAACAATTGCATGACGCGCCTCCATGGCAGTGGAACACTCGCTTTCAGGGGGCAGAAAAGAGGGGGGAGGGGAAGAAAGCCCTCCAAATAGCCCTTGAAAAAGTTCCCCACCAGGAAGAAACCTATCGAACTAGATAGAAGCAGCAGCAACAGCAGAACGGAAGTCCCGCTTGGCCTTCCGAACGCCGCCCTTCCAATAGCCACGCCCAGCGTCTGGGTCAAAACCCTCCCATGCTGCCCTGTTCCATTTGAGGAAACGCTGCGTGTGCGCGTGGAAGGTCGGCTCTACCTTCCCTTCGCCGCCACGTTCCTTTTTTTTTCCCGCCTTGTTTTTTACGCCCACAAATGGTCCCTCTTGGCTTCCGTAGCTCCGCCCTTCAACCTCCGCCACTCAGAGCGAGCTGCTTTCCCGGCGTCCCCTGCGCTACGCGCGTCTCTCCTTCCCCCTCCTCACCTCCATTCCGGCTCCTACCCTTTCCCCCCGCACCTCGCACTCGGATCTTGGACGCTCGCCCGCCTTTTCCCCTTCGGCGAGAGGAGAAGCAGGAGCCCCTCCCCTACCGGCGTGAGGTTTTGTTCTTTCCTCCTCCGGCCGCGTGCGCCGTGATTCTTCCCTCCCCCGTCGCAGACTTCCGACGAGTGTTAACCCCTTCCTACGAAGCTCCCACCCCCGCATCCCCGTGTCCGGTCTTCCTTCTCTTCTCTGTTCGGTTTCCGGCTAACGGTCTCCCTCGGATCTCGGAGGAACTAAGCAGGGCCGGCTCGGCGGAGCCAGGCCTGCGCCCGGGAAAGTGATGTCAGGTGGAGACTCGGCGGCCGCCGCGGCCTCTCCTCAGCCGTTGCCCTTCTCGCTGCCCAAGCCGCCCCCCCTAATGCAGCTCAACCCCGGCGAAGGCGTGCGCCCTGTGGGAGCCCCCGGCCCGGAGCAGTCGCCGAAGAGCGCCCGCATGGGAGGCCGGCCGGACTGGCCTGCCGGGAAGCCTGTCAGCCTCCTGGCACCTCTCCTTCCGCCGCGCGGGGAACCCGAACCGCTCCTTCCCTTCGGACCGTCCTCTCGCCAGCCCCTCCGGGGGAGACTCCTAGGCAGGGGCGGCGGCGTCGGAGGAGGAGGCGGCGTCGGTGGTGGCGGCGGTGCGGGTAGCCCCGGCCTCCTCAACCCTGCGATGAGGCTGGGCGCCGGCGGGGCAGGAAGCGGCGGCGGCGGCATGGGCCGAGAGTCCGTTATGGTAGGTGGGCAGCAGGCGATTTATTTTGTGGGGAGCGGGGGGGGGGCAAAAGTAAGTTGCCTTTTTCCTTCGGTTTTTCAACTCCCGTTGCAAATTTCATAACCGTGAAGTAAAAAAGCTCTTTTGGCCTCATTTGAAGGTGTGGAGGGAGCCTAGTTACCCTGACAAGTCTTCTTCAGTGACTTTGAGTTAAGTCTGCCCGCATTTTTCACTCCGAGTCTCTCTGCCTGTATGTTAATGGAGACGGTATGCTAGTGGTTTTTCGGCACGTTTTTTTTTTGTTTTTTTAGACCATTTAGCATTCTAGCCGATATGAGATTTTAGCTAATGCCTGAATGCCGGATGAAAATTAACTAGTTGCTTGGCATCTGTGGTGATTCTCAGTCATCCTTGTCCCAAGAAGCAACTGGACTTTCTTTGTTTTTCTTTGAAGACGTTTCACTTCTCATCCAAGAAGCTTTTTCAGCTCTGAGCTGGAGAAGCTTCTTCGATGAGAAGCAAAACTGAAAAAGCACCTTTGGGGTTGTTGCTTGGCTTTCTTTTCCCTGTACCTAGAAAGGTATATTGGAAAGGCCTGTTAAGTGCATATTTTCCCACCATTCCTGAGAATGGTGAGATTTAATCTTCGCAGCAGTGCATATGGTAGGGAATCAACAGAAATATGAATATTAGCATTTGAAAAATGGCCCAATCACATTGTTATTATGTGCCATCACATTGTTTTCAACTTCTAGTGATCACATTGATTCTCTCTTTGATCATTCTTTCTTCGATGGTCTAACTCTAACCTGGTCTTTCAGGTTTTCTAGTGCCAGTGTTACTGGGGCCATCCACCTTGCTGCTGCTGCTGCTCATCCTCTTTTTCTCTTTCCTTCTAACTTTCCCACTATTACAGCCTTTTTCAGAGAGATAGTCTCAGATTTGCTAGCTTTATGGTAATTATAAATAGAATTTGACAAATTGAAATTATTTGGCATGATCATTTGGAACACTAAGCCAGAATTCTGGAGGACTAGCTTAGGATGAATTTATATGGATTTATAAATACCGTATTTGTTTATTTTATTCATTTATTGTGCCAAACAATCCATTCACTTTCATTTCACTTTTTTACTGTTCACCTGCAACTCCTGGTTTTTCCTCTGCATTGTAAATTGCCCCCCCCCCCAAAAAAACCCTATAGTTTTTGAACTGGCTTAAAAGGGGACAGTAAGCCAAGAACCTTGATTTGAGTCATAAAACAAATCCTTTCTATTTAGTGCTGTAGTTACAAAAGGAAAAGTAGGAGCTTTCAATGACAAGTCAACATTCATTATTATTGTTCCATGTAACTGTTACTAATATATGTGAAGCATTTGAACAGTTGTAACTTGATGTTTCATAAGTTGCCAAGTTTTATAATTATTTTCAAACAAGTAGGTCAATGACAATATTATTTACAGGAATATTTAATAAACTTGTACCATTAATAGTGCTTAATTCCTAAGAAAGGTTATACCACTTATACCCAAACCTGCCTAATATATGTGTTATTTCTTCTTTGAAGACTTGCTGTCCAAGTCTTTCCTGTTTGAAGATTTGCTAACCAAAATATTTCTTTACAAAATTAAGAATATAATGAAGGTAACCTAAACTTTTCAGAGCAGATTATGAAATATACATATGTTAATGAGTTGTATTCATTTTACAATCTAAAGATAGTTGAAAACAAAACCACAATTCTACCCCCTCCCAAAATTTATTAAAATTTTAAAATAGCAAAATAACATCTGCTTAATAAAAAGTATTTCCATTTGATTGCAGAACAAAGTTAGTGACTTGAAATGCATAGTTTCCTAAATGTAGCACTTGAAAAAGCCCACTTGCAGATTACCCTAATAATGAATGGAGAAAATACAAGCAAAAGGTATTTTAGGTGATCTTTAATCAGGATTATGCACAAGGAGATAGCCAAATGCTATTTTGTTTTGGGTCTAAAAGTCATAAATCCCTAACAAGCTAGTTGCTAATGTACATGATTTAATTTATTTTTAGTAAAACTCATGTCTGCCTCAGTATTTGCACTGAACAGTTTATGTTAGCTGGTAGATGAATTCATACAGCTATTTTTTAATTTTATATAAGTAAAACCTAAATATACAAGCAGGTTTCTTTTTTTTAATTTTCATATTTTAACTTTTACTGGTTTAATTGATTTAAACCAATACATTTAAATTAATTAAAGGTTTAATTGAATGGCCATAAATAATTGGATGTTTTATTTAAATTGTTTATAGCTACCCAATTCAGTGGACTCTGTTAGAAGCATTGACCTGCTCTATGCATATTTCAACTACCATTTTCTCAGAAAATAGAATCAGGGTTTACAGTTCTGATTTTCCCTGAATGTTTTCTGACTTTCTCATCTGGCAAGCAATATATCCAAGACTGGGTCATTTGAAATCTGGTGTACAATGTTTCAATCACAGAATGTCTTGTTCAAACACAAAAACAGTAGTGTTTGAGTGCAAAATGAGCTGTTGTAACATTCTGAAGTGCTTCAAACTCAAAACAGCCCATTACATGATGGGAATGTTTTGTACATCCCTAATGCTTATTGTTACACTTTTTTTCTTGAGGATTACTCATACAATAAATACAAATAGTAATTGCAATAATAAAATAGCAAGTTTGTAAACTATCATCAGTTGTAATATCCAGAAAGGGGAAAGTATAAAATATTTATGTATTGACAGCATTGGTAAATATTGTAGCAGTTAAAAAAAAACTTGCTGTTCGTGAGTCCTAATTAACCAGATTTGGAACTTAGTTCTGTTTTGCTTGTATTCGTAAAATCCTGAACTGTGTTTTTCAGATGGGACATCCAGGCATGCCTCACTATCCACCCATGGGAATGCATCCTATGGGCCAAAGGCCCCCCAACATGCCTCCAGTATCTCATGGGATGATGCCTCAAATGATGCCTCCAATGGGAGGACCACAAATGGGACAGGTAAATGGGCTTCTGTGATTTTGTTATATATATTACTTTAAAATGAAACAGTACTATAATTTCAATCTTTTAAAAATTTCCATAGGTCATTAGGAATTGGCACTGATTCATATCAGTACAGTCTTCTTAATCTCTTTTTCTCATTATTCCTGACTTAAATGAATCAGAAGATTTTTTTTTCTTAAACAGGTCAGTTACTTTTCTGCATAACATTTGGGATAGGAAAGTATTTTGGCCTCACATTGCTTACTATTTGGTTGAATCCTTACTTCTCTGCAATATATTTCTCCTGTATGTCAGTAAGTAGTTTAGCCTTTTCAGATCTGAGCTTTTATTTTCCCTTTTTGTAGCAGCCTTAGCTCTTTGTGTTCAGTGTGATTTAGCAGAATTAAAAAAAAAACACCTTTGCTTACTACTCTAGATAGTAATCCCAGTACTATACTGTCCATACTTACACTAGTTCAAACCTTGAATTTTAAAGTCACTCATAGTATTAGTCTTGCACTAATGTAAAAAGTTTTCATCTTTTTTGATGAATAAAGGGCATTCTGTCCTTATATGGCATTAAACATCATGTAAGTCCTTTGCATTCTGGACAGTATCAAAATGTGTTAGTGCAGGTGCATGTGAAAAGTAATTTTAGCAGTTCAGCTATTTATCTTATTATCTGTTAATTGCAAAGCCCCTAATTATCAGCCTATTTAACATAGCTGATCAAATTCCCTAGGCCAGTGATGGCGAACCTTTTAGAGACCGAGTGCCCAAACAGCAACCCAAAACCCACTTATTTATCGCTGGGTGCCAGGTGGGCGTGGCCCACTGGGTGGGTGTGGCTGTGGTGGTCATGGCAAACTGGGTGGGTGCGGCCAAGGTGGGCATGGTCATCTTGATGTTGCTCGTGAGGAGGGATGCCTGTGGGGGCCGGGCCGGGTAGGGGGAGATCCAGGGGTTCTCTGGCAGGTGGGGCGGTGGGAAGGAGGCTCGTCCTGCAGGGTGAGGCAAGGCAAGGCAGAAGTGCCATTGTCGCAGGGCAAGGCAAGGCAGGGCTCGCCTGACACCATTGGCTCCGGCACACAGAAGCCAGCGAGCGCATGGGGGCTGACAGTGTCCATCAGCAGCCACAGCCTGCCGGCCCCTCGACTGGCATACTCTGGGGCTCTGCAGCCCGCCATGAGCTGGACAGCCAGTCGACAGCTGAGGAGGAAATGCAGTGCATCGTGCCCAGGAAAAGGAGAGCATGCGAGGCCAGGAGGGATGGGACGGGAGGGAGGGAAACCAGCCATGCTGGGATGCATCCAGCCATATGGGATCTCAGCGAGTTAGCGGGTGGCTGATTGAAGAGGGACGGTTGCCATCTCTGGGGCATGGTGCGCGTGCCCACAGAGAGAGCTCTGAGTGCCACCTCTGGCACGCGTGCCATAGGTTCGCCACCACTGCCCTAGGCCATTGCTTTGAATTAAATTATTGTTCGCTCACATTACTGTGGCCTGG